CACCCGACACAACCCCGCAGCACCATTGTCACTTTCTCCCCACGCAGCAGTCCAGCTTCACGCTCTCCCCCTCAACCCTCTACCCCCAACCCCACCTCCTCTCTCACACGTCCAACCCCCCGCACCATCCCCGACAAACTCCACACACATCCAACCCACGCTATCCATTGATACCCCACCGGACCCCCCCCAAGCCCATCCATCTACTAACCTGTACACCCCCTCGCCCGACACCCCCCACCAATTTTGCAACTCACCTTTCAAGCCCCTACCCCAGCACGAGCACTGACTTCGCAACAAGCATCGTATCCACCTATCCCTTTCCTCCTCCTCCCCTATCATATCCCCTCCCACGTTGTCACCTCCCTTCTCCCCAACCGCCTAGCAAGTACACTAACAACACCCGCTATCTCAAAATCTATTTACTCGCCACCGCAATAAATACACCTCGGAGCCCTATCCGCCCGACGGCACAACCAACTCTCCCACCCCCGCCCTTCCCCCCTCCAACCTCTGACCACATTCCTCCAGCGAGATCTGGTCGACCTCCCCTATCAGACAAGCCCCGGCGGTCCAACCCCCTTCTCCCACCACCATCCAAAAGTGATTCTCCCCCATCCAAGTGCCCACGGAACCACTCACATTCACCGCTCAACACACCCCCTAACTCCAACAACAATCTTTTAACCTCAAACATCCCCCCCCTCCCATGCCCCCTCACCCCACAGCAACCAAACCCGATTCCTGCGCTGGGCATACCTGCATATGCTCATGCAGGCAGCCCAACTTCCCACATAATCAAGCTGCGAGGAGCTGCAGCCACCCCTAACTCCCCACCATCACAAGTCCCCGAACAAGGGCTAGCTCGAAACAGAAGATAGACGATTCACACACGACACCATAGACTGAAAGGTAAGTTTATTATTATAAAAAAAACACAGCCCCCTACTGAGCAGTGTCATCCCCAAACATTAACCCAGCGAGCAGGTATCGCCAGCCACAAAATATTTGAAAGCTAGAATCTCACCCCCCCTCCCACCCCCCCCCCCCCCCCCCCCCCCCCCCCCCCCCCCCCCCCCCCCCCCCCCCCCCCCCCCCCCCCCCACCCAGATCTTGCCCCGCCGTCACAGCCACAAGCCAGGATGGCCACGGGCAGTGACCTTCCAGCTCCGCTTCCCCTCGGTCGTAGCGGCCAAGTCCCAAAATGCAGGTGAAAGTCTCCAGCAGTCTAACGGATCACTCGTCGACCATGAGACACTCCGATTCCTGTTGGAATCACCGCAATTCAAAGGAGAAAAAATAACAAAGAAGATTCAGCAAAATGGGGAAGAAAAGGAAATCACAGTCCGGGTAGCGAGACAATTGATTCAACCAACGCCATGAACACTAAACACGCGCTGGTTTTCACTTTCTCCAACACAGGTGCCCGCCTACCAGCAATCGAACAACACAAATTGCTCACAAGGACAATCCAGGGACATGAAAACCTCAAGTCCAGCACAGACAAATTCTCAATTCTGGTACTGAGCAAGAACATGATGATGGTGGTCTTCAAGGACCCCGATCAGGCATCCAACCTGATTAACAGACGCACCACCCTGGACTGCAATGGTTCAGTCTGCACCTTATATCCCGGTGGAAATTGGAAACGGCCCAGAAAGCCACCATTTTCCCACCTGCAGCCCAAAAACAACGACTCATGAGGGACCAATTCTGGGTCCAGTTTGATGACATCCGCATCAAAAGACACCCACTGGTCAAGGACTGAATAGAGGTCACTATCCGGACAATAAAATACTGAAATTTGTCCTCCCAACGCCAGAATGTCTGGCTCCACATTGTGACTCCATCACTGCGTTCTTGGAAGTGAACTCCGAGACGAACCCAGAATTCACGGAACAATGAGAATTCAGCATTGGAGATAAATAGCGTGCATGAGTCTCTTATGTATTCCTTAATGACTTGCCGGGGAAAGGAACCGAACTGTTGCTCCCCAGAATGGTAGGAGCCAGAGCCAAGAGGCTCTGTATTCATTTAAAAAAAGGTGCACAACCTATGGTCCCTCCTCTTCTCATCACCCCCTCCGTCCACAACTCCTCTGAACATCCTGCTCCTATCCAACAATACTAACGATCTCAAAGGTGGCAAGGAAGTCTGGTTTCATATGCTCAGGAAGCTGGCTCTATGGGTAATCTGCAAAAGGAGGGGTACCAAGACTATTGAGGGTACCAAGGTGGCAAAGGAAGAAATGTGGATTTTAATACTGGGAATGGTGGAAACTGAGTTCGATCCAGATGCAGGGAGGTGACATCAACAACAAAAGTCGGACCAGAAAAATTAGCTATCAAGAGATGGACTTTCGTCAGAAACTGGCTTCTACAGGGAAAGATTCATAGCTACGTCCGACTGGACCCCGGACAGAATCCGGGCCCTGGAACACGGACCTTCCGGGCCCTCCCAGACTTTCGGAACACCGGAACTTTCCACAGGATCCGGACTGGTCCGGATCCCCTTTCCAGATGTGTATCCGGATACCTCATATTTTTTTTTTTTTGGGGGGGGGAGGGGAACCGCATACGTACATACATTACCTCGGTGTGTTGTCATATTCACTATACACTCAAAAAGAACATGACTGTCGGTGTGTCTGTAGGATGAGCAAAATCGGAATGAATCTTCAGCCAGAACATGGAAATATACACTGCCACACTTTTTTTTCTTTTTTTTCGTGTGTGCATCAACTGAGCAGCCTGCCAATATACACCACGACCGACAAATCTCCCCCCAGGCGATGCCCCCCCTGCAAGCGATCCAAGCACCAGGTCACGACGCCTCGACTACCCCTCGCAGTTCGCGCTCACCATGGCTTTCCACGAACGCTGGATCATCAGCACACCCCCACTACGAATATCCTGCGAGGAAAAAGAGAAGAGAGAGCAGGGAGAGGAGCGCAAGGTACGCTAGGAATGCGCACGCCGAGAGTTCCATGGCCGTTTTTCCTCTCTCCTCATCTAGCGCCATTCTGATGGAACCTGCCGCCAACCTGTTGTGCGGCCCTTGGTGAGCGAGTTAATTATGTCACCAGTTCACGCAGGAGCAGCTTGGCAACGATTAGAGCCAAGGTACTGAGAGCGCTGAGGGCGACAAAGAAGA